ACCCCCGTGCGCCCTGGGCGCGCAGGGCGCGGAGGGGGCCCGCCTTTTGGGGAGGGCCGGGGCGGCTTCTTTCGGCCCTCCTCGGCGGCAGTGCAGGCTCCGGGAGGCAGGGGGCTCTTGTGCGCCGGCTGCAGCGGCCGCGTCTCCGCCTCGGAGCGCCCGGGAGGCGGCGTCAAGGCTGGGGAACCGGCCGCCTTCCCTCCGCCCTGGCTGGCCCTAGCCGGGGGGCGGCTCGGCTTCTGGAAGGGGGTCCCCTTGCTCGCCATCCCTCCACGATCCGGCTCGTTTGGGTAAGGATCGCCGCCGCAGCCGCCTCCTTCTCCTCCTCCTGCGCCGGGGCCCTGGAAGGCCTCTCCTCCTCCTTCTTCCACCGCTTCCTCCTCCTCCTCCGATCCGCTCCCAATGCGGAGCTGCTTCTGCCTCCGGCGGGGGAGCAGCCGAGATCCGCGGCCGCCGGCGGTCCCGGCAACAGTTAAGTGCGTCTTCCTCTTTGGGAAGCCTTTTGGGGGGACCCCGGGCCTGGCTGCCTCTCCCCCCCAGCCCTGGGGCCCTGCGCTTTTTCTCCCCTCTCCTCCTCGGAGGCGTCTTCCTTCCCCCCCCCTTGGGTACGGATCCGGCCCTCCCCAAACATTTTAATCATTTTTGGGAGGGGGCAGGAAAAGCCTTCCCCGGTGCAGTGGAAAGGTTTGGTCTGGCCCAATTCTTGGTGATGGTGGGGATAACGGAGAAGGGGGGGTGTCAATGGGTCCAGCCTTAACGCACCCCCCAAAAGGTTGACGGGGATCGGCGTCCATGGGGTGGCTCAGGGTGGCTTTCTTTCCCATATGGAGCCTGGCTTTTTTTTTTAAAAAAAGGAAATTTCCTGGCAAGGATTTATAACAAAGGGCTGCCTTTGTCTCCACTGGAAACCTCGGTCTCCCCACTTCCATGGAAAGGGGGAGCGTAACCCACCCACCCCCGATCAGCAACATAAACCTAGCAAGGCATTTCCATTTTAATCTCTCTCTTTTCCTCCATAAATTCATCACCCCCTTCTCATTTTTTTGGCTGTGTTGAATCAGGGAGAATGAAACAGGCCCTTGTTATATCTAAGAATGCCTCTTATGACCGCCTGGCCTGCTTTCTGTTTGGCATTACCTGAGCACCTTTTTAAGTAAGCATACCTGGAGGAAATTAAGGATCATGGAAACTCAGCTCCTTGGCTAAAAGTTATTTAGACGGCCCTGCTGGGTTTTCGTTCAGGCCTATTTTTAAAACAGCCCTCTCTGTGCATCTTCTCTATGTCTTCCCACTCACCTCCTTAGTTACCGGTTTAGGTAGGATGCGTTCTGTCGCACGGCGTGATTCCTTGGTACGATTTGTTGTTTTTATGGCAAACGTTAGCAGCCGGTGTGTTGTCTTGAACACGAAGCCTGTTTAGGTGGGGTTGGGGTGGAAAGAGCGGCGAGCCGGCGTGCACCTTTTAGCCGTCCCGAGAGCCTGTGGAACTCCTTGCCACTGGAAAGGCGGCAATTTGAAACGGAAAATTCTTTTGCTGTTGCCGGACACTCGACATATACATACATGACACGAACATACATATTTCATGCAAGTAGAGTAAAACAGTGGATCTCACCCTTAGGTCCCCGGATATTCTTGGACTAAAACTCTCAGAAATCCTGGCCAGGGGCTGAAGGCTTCTGGGAGTTGTAGTCCAAGAACATCTGGGGACATAAGGAGGGGCATCCCTGGTTTATTTCACAAGACTCCTTGGGTTCATTCAGGTGACCCTCCAAACCATGGTCTGTAGGATCAGCTGAACAAACCAAACCATGGTCTAGAACAGTTGGTTCCCAATTTTGGGTCCCCAGATGTTCTTGGTCCACAACTCCCAGAAATCCTGGCCAGATTGTGAGTGGGTGAAGGCTTCTGGGAGTTGTATTTCAAGAACACTTGGATCCTAAGGCTCGTAACTACTGTTTTAAGACCATTCATGTTGTGACTGCTTCGTCTTAAATAGGAATACTCAGAAGGTTTTTCCACTCCCTTCCTCTAGGGGGCAACCTTGGGACTGTGCAGTTGGCCCAAGGCTACCCAGGCTGGCTCTTCTCCCACGAGGCCCAGCGGGGGAATCAAACTCCCAACCTCTTGCTCCACAACCCGATAGCTTAAACCACGGAGCTATCTAGCCAGCTTGTCCAAAATACCAAGAAACCATAAATACATCGCCTGAGTTATCCCAAGGACCTGCATTGCTGTCGTCCTAAAAACGAAATAACTAAAAATCATCGAGCAGCGCAGTTAAGTCCTGAATTTGTTCCCCACTTAGAAAGTTGCTGCTGTTAACTAAAAGTAGTTACCAATTTACTAAAACCGACGGTGGATGCTTCTGGACAGATAAAGGAAGTACGTCTTTTCTGCAGCGCGTAACTCAATGGTGCGATTCATTTTTGAAGGGTGTAGCGATGGCTATTTTAACGCATTGGATTCGCTCACGGAGGTTAAGGCCACCAGTGGCTAGTTTGGGAGTTTGATTCCCCCCACGGTGCCTCCAGGTTCCCAATCTTGGGTCTCCAGACGTTCTCGGACTGCAGCTTCCAGAAATCTTGGCTAGCACCACGAGTGCTGAAGGCTTCCGGGAGTTGTAGTCCAAGAACATCTGGAGACCCAAGGTTGGACGGCAGCTTCCAGAAATCTTGGCTAGCCCCACGAGTGGCGAAGGCTTCCGGGAGTTGTAGTCCAAGAACATCTGGAGACCCAAGGTTGGGAATCCCTGCTTCAGGGGAAAGAGCCAGCCTGGGTAGCCTTGGGCAAGCTGCACCATCCCAGGGTGCCCCCAGATGAAGGGAATAGTAAACTACTTCTTAGTACTCTTCACCTGAGAAAATATCCTGAAAGTACTGTACAACCATCAGTCAGAATTAACTTGGTGACATATGATGACCATCAATTGTCCATCTGTGAACTTTTCCTCTTGTGGGTCATAATTTTGACATTCGGTGTTTCTTCTGAACTTCCTTTGCCCGCCATGTCACCACGGATCTTCAATAAAATGACACAATGCATAAAACAGCAGTAACATATGCATATCCTTGAGTATTTATTTATTTTTTTGCGTTGGCCAACAAGGGTGTTCAGTAGATCTCCAGATCTTTGCCAATGACTGTGGTAGTTCTCTGGTTCCTTGATGGAAGGGTTGATAGGATGTGAGATGTGACCCTTGGAGAACCATGACAGTAGAGGTTGCCAAGGAAGATATCTGTCTTGGTGTTAAGCAGCACGTCTCATATTTGATTGCACGTCTCAAAACCAGTGTAACGATGCACCCGTTTATAATGCAACATGGATTCTGGTGCTCAGAATTTTCATGTGTCCACAATGTCTTATGTTTCCTGCTACGTTCCTTCTCAAAACGCACTGCAGAACAGCCGCCTGGCCATTGCTGGCTTTCTTGAGAGCCAGGATGGGAAATTGGGTGGACCTTTCCGACGTTCTAGGCCAGTGGTGTCGAACTGTGGCCTTCCAGATGTTCTTGGCCTTCAACTCCCAGAAATCCTGGCCCAAAACACACCGCAGAACAGCCGCCTGATCATGGCTGGCTTTCTTGCGAGCCAGGAAGGGAAATTGGGTGGACCTTTCCGACGTTCCGGGCGCTTCGGCTCCCATCCATTCTGGCCACCAGGGCTGAGGGCAAGGGGTTGTGGGAAATGTAGTCCCCGGAAGGCTCAAGATCCCTCACCCTGCGGATATTTTTGGTTTAATCCTGAATGATTGTTTATTGTTGTGAAATTGTTGTTACATATCCTAAATGATTGTTTATTGTCGTGAAATTGTTGTTACATTTCAGTTGTTTTTACTCTATTTGTTGTGAGCCACCTAGAAGTAGACATTGTCCAGATGGGCGGCATACAAGTTTAATTAATTAATTAATCTCTTGGGTTTTCTAAATTTGCCAGAGGATTTGACCCGGGACTACAGTTCTGGGAGGCACGACACAAACCTTCTGTATGATGGGTTTGCATGTTGAGTTTATGGGGCAAGTTCCTTCTGAATAATTTCCAGAAGGAAGCTGTGTTAGCCTGTTGCAGTAGTGGAAACAATAATGGGTAATTGTGACAATTTTAAAGACCAAACTGTTTTGATACGAGCAAAGAGTAGGGCCCACTTTACTGAGCGGATAAGAGTGTTATTCAGAGTTGTTAGGTGTGTTTATGAATGTATTATCTGTCTATCTAGCGTGTTTCCCCGAAAATAAGACAGGGTCCTACATTAATTTTTTGCTCCAAAAAACACATTGAGACTTATTTTCAGGGGATATTTTAATTTTTTTTCATGTACAGCCATCTGCATGTATTCGAATACAGTCATGTCATCTTCTGGTTGCTGCCCAATGGTGGAGGGAGCGTTTTCACTTCACTGGGGCTTATTTTTGGGGTAGGGCTTCTATGACAAGCATCCTGAAAAATCCTACTAAGGCTTGTTTACAGGTTAGTTCTTATTTTCGGGGAAATGGAGTATCCTGTCGATCGGAAGAGACCTTCCACACCCCAAAACAGTGGTTCCCAACCTTGGGTCCCCAAGATGTTCTTGGACTAAAATGTCCAGAAGTTTTCGCCCCTAGCTGCGCTGGCCAAGACTTCTGGGAGTTGTAGTCCGCCCCTAGCTGCACTGGCCAAGACTTCTGGGAGTTGTAGTCCAGGAAAATCTGGGGACTCCAGGTTGAGAAGCACTGCCCTAGGTTTATGGAACGGCGGTTCCCATCCTTTAGCAGCTCCTATCCTGTAGAAGTAACGGGAGCAGCAGTACAGGACTGAGATATGATGGCAGTAACTGGAGGTGGATATAGAAGATCTTCCCTCTGCCCCTTTTACAAAGGCTGGAATTAAACAGCTATGGATGCAAAAAGGAGTTGCGGTAAACCCTTGGGAACTGCCCTAGGTTTATGGAACGGTGGTTCCCATCCTTTAGCAGCTCCTATCCTGTAGAAGTAACGGGAGCAGCAGTACAGGACTGAGATATGATGGCAGTAACTGGAGGTGGATATGGAAGATCTTCCCTCTGCCCCTTTTACAAAGGCTGGAATTAAACAGCTATGGATGCAAAAAGGAGTTGCGGTAAACCCTTGGGAGGTGGTCCTTGGCTGGAGACGCAAATGTCTTTCGGGGACTTGACGTCTGTGCATTTCCTTCTCGCTACAGGAAGTTTTTGCAAGAGAGGGTTAAGGCGTCCATGGAGGGGATCCTGCCGAGCCCCATCCTTCCTGTCTGATAACAAAGCTGGTTTCAGGCCAGCTTTCTCTCTTCTCGACCGACCGCGGGCCCTTGGGCTCGGAGCAAAATCCGCCGCGGGGTGCGTGCGCCGGGGTGTGGGTGTGTTCGTGGAGGTCTGCTTAGGAACGTTTATCGGCTCTTCTTTCCAGTCTGCCGTTTCACCCCTCTTCGCCTCAACTCACTATTTATTCCCTAATCTGGAACGAGGGACTCAAATGAGAGAAAAAGTTGTGTCATCATATAACCACGGGGAGGTTAGATTTTTCTACCTTCTCTTTTATCCGGGGGGAGAAAAAAGGTCTGATGGGTCGTATTCTGAGTATGTTGCAGAGCAGGTATGGCCTCAAATGGCCACCTATGGTCCTCAGGCTGTCTTTGCGGCCCCTGACCTCCTCTTGTTCTGGGGGGGGAAAGCTGGATTTTGGAAGTTTTCAAAAGTGGCAATTCTACCTTTTAAATATAGGGATATGTTGTTTTTTTTAGTGACGTTGTTTAGTCGTTAAGTTGTGTTCGACTCTTTGTGACCCCCATGGACTAAAAAACGCCATGGGGTCACAAAGAATCAGACACAACTTAACGACTAAACAAGAAGTCACTAAAAAAACAAACATATCACTATATTTAAAAGGTAGAATTGCCACCTTTGAAAACTTCCAAAATCCAGCGAGATCTCTAAAGTTTTAGTGACTACAAATCCCATAATTCTCCCTCCTGGGAGTTCTGCCTGAGAGACACCTTAGAGACAAAGAAATGTGGCTCTCCTGGGAGAACAGGCCTCAACTGTGGATATCCTTGAGGCCTATCTGGGCCTAGTTCTGCCTCGCTTCCTGTTCAGGGAGGAAGTTCCCAGCTAGCACTGGGGTAGGGTGTGGGGAGGAACAGGAAGCTTAGGCAGAGCTAGGCCTAGCTCTTCCAGTCTAGGCCTGTCTCCCAGGTGAGCCAAAGTTAGGTATCTGTAAGGTGTCTGACTGCCCAGGAGAACTCCCGGAATAGAAATTTGTGGGATTTTGCAGTCCAAAAACAATCCCAAAATCCCATCGTTGTACTCCTCTAACTGTTTAAAAAGTATTTCCAGATCTTCAGCTTCGCTTCCTGTGGCTTGAGCTTATTATTACGTCTCCCGCACTCTGGGATGACCGAGAACGGATCCTGGGCTTCCTGTGGCTTGAGCCTATTATTACGTGTCCCGCACTCTGAGATGACCGAGAACGGATCCTGCCCTTCCACTGTAGGACTCCGTCTCAAGTATTTGAAAAGTGCGGTCCTATCTGTAGTGTCCAGAACTGGACACAGTACAGAGGAGGCCGAACCCATCCTGAATAGAGGGGAACGAGAGAGCATGTGGTGCTTTTTTGGAGGCCCCATTTCTTCCAGAAAAGATGGGTGATTCACCCCAGTATGGAAAACCCTGCCTTTTTCCACACCCATCTCTCCCCGCTCCCCAAGCTCATCAATTCCCTTTATAAACCAGGTCTTTGTGTGTGCAGCGACAAAGTCCGGATTCATGCGGATTTCCCCTCCTGCCCCCTGCCGCTCGCTGTGTGTCGCACACCCACAAGAAGGCTTTTGTGCCAACCGAGCGGACAAAAGCTTTTGTGCTCTTGTGTCTTCTGTCCCGGATCCAAAAGTGGATTATTATTGGCAGCTTTTAGCAGGGACTGGGAGAAAAGAAGGGATCTCTTTGTGCCCGGGGACTCCTGACCCCGGCTCGGTCGCTCGAGAAACTGCGCCCTTGTTCGACAAGATGGCAGCTGTCCCACCGAGGGCGCCTCTCCCCGTAGGAGGAACAGTGTCAAATTGGTAAAAGGGGAAAGTCTCTAATTCCTCGCTTTTAATTCCTGTCATTTCCGCATCCTTCGTTTATCTTTAGAGATGTGATGGCTGATTTAATAAAAATGCTTTGTACGTGCTCAGGAATACTCTGTTGGCTCGGCGGCTGCTTTCAAAATGGAAGCTTTGGTGTACGGAGCATTAAAATCATCTTTGGGTTTCTTTGCAAATTGTGAAGTGCTTCGTGGGCTGCTGATTATATCATATGTGTTTGAAGGACATTGATTATAGTTATACCTCCAAGGCTGCAAAAGGAAATAGGAGCCGTTACATGTAACTATCTTTGTTTTTCAAATGTAACTGTCCTTACTTTTAGTTACCCTGACAAGTTACTTTTTGTTTATTTGCTTTACCTATTTTTTTTAAAAAAATCTGAGTGTTCTTATTCTTCTCTGTGGTACAAAAATACTCTTCTTTGATCGATGACCTCAAATGCCCTCATCAGAAAATAAGGCAGCAAAAACAAGGAGTGACATGAGCCTGCACGGAATCATTTCGTGTGAGAACTTGAAAAGGAACAGAAAAAAGTAACAGGTGCAGTGCAAGAGGACAGCTATGATTATTCAGTTCTCGCACATAACTTGTCTAAGGCCATCGAGTCCAACGCCCTGCTTTGATCCAAATCAAAGTAGATCTGACAGATGTCAGTCTAATTTTCTCTTGAATGCCTCCAGTGTTGGAGCGCTCGCCGCATATCGAGATTCCATTGTCGTACTGCTCTAACAGTTAGGAAGTTTTTTCCTTGATATGGAGCCTCTGTCTGTTTGGATCTCTGCTCTGTTTCTAACCTTCAGGAATTTGCTGCTGTTTGGGTTCTGCTAGCCGTAGGATTTTGGCTGGCGGTTGGCATCTTTCCTTCCCTTCCGAGCGCTCGAGAGGCTTAAAAATAACTCAAACAAACAAGATATTTCCCCCAGACTACTTTGGCTGCTTGCCTGTAAAGAGGCTAGGTTGTGCCTCCTTGTTTGTTTAATTTCTTTTTAATTGAGCAGGTTGCCACCTTTGGGTCCCTCTTGATCCTTCTCAGACAGAGAGCTGGCCTGGGTGAAAGTATTTGCCAGGCGATAAGGCTTATCTTAACCAAACAGCAGGGCTATCGAGATGAGGAGCGAGGGGGAGGCGAATGAACTTGAGCGGCCGCGAATGTGGTTCTCCAGAGGGAGCGCCCGGCTTGCATGTTTATTTTGGCAGCTTCCTCGGGCTCTCCGTGACGCGTCCGCCCATTGGCACGTCGGCCGCTGACCTGACCGTTCCTTCCCCCCCCCTTTTTTTTTGCTGTTTCAGAAGGAGACCACGATGCCCGAGGTGAAAGACCTGGCCGATGCTTTGCCGGAGGTGGCCATGGACCCCATCACTGGAGTCGGGGTGGTTGCCTCTCGGAACAGAGCCCCGACGAATTACGACGTGGTGAGTCTGGAAGCCCTGTCTATCTGTTTGTCCATCTGTCCTTCCTTGATTCCATCGTAGAAGGCTTTCAAGTGCTCTCTTAAGGTTCAGGCAGGAGTCCTTCTATGACGTGGTGAGTCTGGAAATTCTGTCTGTCTGTCTGTCCGTCCATCTGTCCTTCCTTGGTTCCATCCTAGAAGGCTTTCAAGTGTGCAGAGGATCCATATTCAGGAGCCTAACAAGCTACAGCATAGGAGTATAGCTCTCTTAAGGTGCAGGCAGGAGTCCTTCCTATCCAAGCCCTGCCTGCTCTCTTGAGGTTCAGGCAGGAGTCTTTCCTATCCAGTCCCTGCCTGCTGTCTTAAGGTTTAGGCAGGAGTCCTTCCTATCCAATCCCTGCCTGCTCTCTTGAGGTTCAGGCAGGAGTCTTTCCTACATATACAGAACTTGGAACATTCTGTATATGTAGCATTCCCTGTGAGCTGCTTGCGTCTCCCATCCAAGAATTAACCAGTTCTAATCCGACGTTAGCTCCTGAAATCAGACAAAAGAAATCAGATACAAATTCAGGACGCCTTCTTTCCAGCAGTTGCTATAAACCGCCTCATTATTTATACACTAGCACCACCCCCACCACCCCAGTATCTGCAGGTTCTTTATCTGTGGTTTTACTTATCTGTGGTCTGAAAATATTAAAAGTATTTTTTAATATTTCCACATGTATTACCAGAACTGGTCGCTAGAGGGAGCAAGAGACCATGTTTAAGAAAACATAGCATGATCTCTGGTTCCCTCTAATGGCCAGTTCTGGTAATACATGTAGAAATACTTTTTTTCTGGATTTTCCCCCCTTTTACAATGCTATATATAGTGTTGGCTATTATCCATAGATAATAGATTCTTCTGGGCTAGGTTGCCTGTTGACTAGCTTTCTTTGGAGGGCGCTCCTGATGCTCATACACAGATTTGGGGCCTGGAGGTTCTTTCCGAGAAAAGGAAAGCAAGAAAGCAAAACTGGCTCAAAAGTTTGTAGCGAGAAACAGATGGGGGAATTTGATCCGTTGCTGGCTGGGGAGCTGCAGATGTTGATGAACTGAGGTTGAACTAAGCTGTGAAGTCCCTCCGGAGTTTTGCTGGCTGTAGATTCTGGTTTTGGAGAGAATGCTTTTTCAGTGTGGAAAGGAGCGAGTAAGCTGTGATGGCAAGGTTCAGACAGCGTCTGCATCGCTTCAACTCTTCAAGATTCTTTGCCCTTTGTGTAATTAGTAAACGGTCAATGTGTTGTGCAAATTGTAATTCATATGGTCCATGAGTGGTGGTACAGAAGTCTGAATCATTCACCTGAGCAAAGGTGGTGCTGGCCCGGACATCTGGCATATGGAAGAGACTCGCAGGATTTTGTGGTCTCGTTCCTCGGCTTTCCATGACTCACTCTGAGTCAGAGGGATTTTTTTCGACTACAACTCCCATCGTCCCTGCTTGTTGGCCTCGTGTGGCTGATGGGGGTCGTAGTTCACCAAAAATATGGAGCACACCTGTTGGGAAGTTTGCATTCTTCTTTTTAACTCCAGGCAGGAAGGAGTGCAAGTTGGAACGGCTGGATAGCTCAGTGGTTTAGGTCGTCTGGCTGTGGAGCCGAAGGTTGGGAGTTAATCGTCTTCGTTGCCAGCTAGATTCATTGAAAGTTCTGTTCTAAATTGTCTCCTGAACTTGGAAAGGGGAGCAGATGTTCGGCATCAGGTGGTGAAACGTCTCTGTGCTTGCACATAGGTCTGTGTACAGTATAGCTCGGTAGGTTGGAGTACCGGTCAATGGAACCAAAGGGCAGGAGTTTAAATCCCCGGTGCACCCTCGGGAGGGGTGATGTTCAAACCTTCTGTAGCTGAATGAGTTACGGGCCCGGCCAACCTGGGCAGAAGGAGAGGAGAATCGCTCGGAAGACTTTCTAGGTAGCAAAACCCGAAGTGGTCATTTACATGTCTTTGGGTCGATTTCTGTTCCATGGGTCTTTTTTAAAAAAATTGATGGATTGTTGCTGTAAAACCGCCCATCAGAGTGCATTGCACTAATGGGGTGGTATATAAATTTGAGAATGAAGGAATGGATTGATTAATGAATTGATTGATTAATTGGAACTGACAAATTAATTGGAAATGAGACCAGGAAGAAGAGACACCAGCCAACAAGAGAAATTTTAAGCTCTGCCTTGTGTGTGCGTGCGTGTGTGTGTGTGTGTGTGTGTGTGTGTGTGTGTGAGAGAGAGAGAGAGAGAGAGAGAGAGAGAGAGAGAGATTTTACTTTCATTTCCCCAAGAATATATGCTAGTAATTAAATTAGGCTTCAAGCCTGAACATGGGCCTGATCATTCCGATAATGGTTACCTTCTTACGGGGAATTTTAATATATATTTTTTTAAAAAAGAGCTAAAGGGAAACAAGACAGGCCAAAGGCTGGAAACGGCAAAGTTGTCTAGACACGCCATGGCTTCTTTAAATACCTGATTCAAGGCGTCTCTTGCAACATTTTATGGAAGCTGCTGGTGGTTTCCTTATGCTCTGTGCTACTGTGCTCGTAGCTTGCACAATATTATAATAATAGTAATAATAATGCAGACGAGACAAAAATGTTATCTAGATAGGAGACAGAGATAGGGGGAAAAATCATTCTTTGTGAAAACTCTCATGTTTTCCCGCAGGTCTGATGGAGTGTTTCCTACTAGTCCATTCTGCTTTAGATAGCTAGAGAGACTTTAATACTGTCAGTGACCAGAATGTGAAATACAATAATAAATGATCATGTGGTGTCAAGTCAATTCTGATTCATGGTGACCCTTATCAGGTAGAGAATATTCAGAAGTGCTTTACCCTTCCCTTCCTCTAGGGGGAGCCCTGGGTCTGTGCAGCTGGCCCAAGGCTACCCAGGCTGGCTCTTCTCCCGGTGCAGGAATCGAATTCCCAACCTCTGGCTCTGAAAGCAGATACTTAAACCACTGAGCTATCCAGCTGGCTTTGCATAATATGAAGATCTGGGAATCACTTGTAGATGTTTTCGCCCAAATAATGACATCAGGGTTGCTCTGCTTACTGTCTGACGTGTGTGTTTGTGTAGGGGCTGCGTAGGGATTCAAGACGAAATCCTACAGTGACGCTGAACGAATGCCCGGAGCAAGTCTCTCTCACGGAGACCTCTGTATAGCTTATAAAGTGTCCGTCAGCCCTGTACCAGCTGTTGTATGTCAACAGCTCCGTTCTAGACCTCCTCTTGGTTTTGCTGATTATCGGCCACTCTCTTGGCTGTTTCATGTTAGGACGGGGGCTTCTAGCTGGATCCTCTGAAATGCTGCCACTTCGGAGAAAGATGATTTTCGGTGGCTGAATGCTTCACACGGCTACGAGGGTTAAAATGAGGACAAAACCATAGTGTGGGGTTCAGAGAGAAGGGTAGAACGCATCAGTGGATCCCATACCTTGGTCCCCAGATGTTATTGGACTCCAACTCCCAGAAACCTTTGCCCGCAGAGCAGTCCAACCCCCTCCTGAGTGCAGGAACCCGAATCAAAGCAGATCCGACAGAGGGCGGTCCGATTTTCTCTTGAAAGCCTCCAACATTGGAGCCCTCACCACCTCCCCTTGAAGTCATGGTTTCTGTTGTTGTACTACTCGAACAGTTGAGAAGTTTTTTTCCCTCCCCTTTATATTCAGTTGAAATCTGACTTCCTGACGCTTGAGCCCGTTGTTACACGTCCCACACTCGGGGATGATTGAGAACAGATCCTGCCCCTCCTCTGTAGGACTAGCACTCGAGTCTTTGAAAAGTGCGATCCTATCTCCCTTCAGTCTTCTTTTCTAAAGGCTGAACTTACCCAGTTCCTTCAGCCTTCCCTCCTAGGGGCTTGCTTTCCGGTCCCCTGACCATCGTTGCCCTCCTCTAAACTTGCTCCAGTTTGCTGGCATCCTTCTCAAAGTGTGGTGTCTGAAACCGATGGACTTCCTGTAGGCAGCGGGTTGGCCACCCCATGAACTAGATCTGGTTTCAGTCTTCTCTTCTAAAGGCTGAACTTACCCAGTTCCTTCAGCCTTCCCTCCTAGGGGCTTGCTTTCCGGTCCCCTGACCATCGTTGCCCTCCTCTAAACTTGCTCCAGTTTGCTGGCATCCTTCTCAAAGTGTGGTGTCTGAAACCGATGGACTTCCTGTAGGCAGCGGGTTGGCCACCCCATGAACTAGATCTGGTCCCAACAAGTTGCTCTTATGTTCTTGCAACATGCTCGCTTTTATTTTTTTCCCAAGAACCACCTCTAAAACAGGAAAAAGACACTCAGGTTTGCCCCCACCTCACCTCCAAACCACCTTAAATCTACAATCAGAGGTTGTTTTCTCTGCCAAATTGCCTTGCGTGGGATTCTCTTTAATCAATGGATTCTCTGGTGGCAGTATTTTTAGACCGGGGGCTGCTTTTGTGTTTGATCCCTTTCTTCAGTCAAAGAGAGGCTTAATGAGATGTCAGGAGAGCCTCCGGCCAGCATTAATTAGGGCAGGTAAGAAGGGGATGCAGTACTTATATATTGGTTTCAGGGTGGTTCACCTGTCTTCTTCCTTTGTCTCTCCCAACACCTCCCTGCCTCCTTCCCCCTCTTTCTTTTTCCAGGTTGCACAAACAGCTGACGGCTTGGATGCTGACCTCTGGAAAGATGGGCTGTTCAAATCCAAGGTCACCCGGTATTTGTGTTTCACGCGGACCTTCTCCAAGGAGAACGTAAGATTTCAGCTGGTTCTCCTACTCCTACTCTTGAAACCAGCATGCACTGCCTCCCTTAACTTTTGCTGATTGATGAAGCCGGGTAGTTTTACGTGTTGTCAATTTAAGCCACTACAGATCTACTCAGAAGGACCACTTGTTTTCCTTATGTCCAGGTTTATGCAGAATCAAGGGTGTAACTGTACATTTTCTTCAGCACCAGAAATAATGTTGCTGGTTTTTTTGAGTTGTGTTTCTGCTTTGGTATCAAGTGGTGTTTTTTCTTTCTTTCTTTCCTTCAGAGTCATCTGGGCAACGTTCTAGTTGACATGAAGCTCATTGACATTAAGGACACGTTACCCGTCGGCTTTATTCCCATCCAAGAGACCATGGATACACGTAGGTTACATTTACGGGCTTTATCTGTGACATAGCGCTATATTGAATGTCTTGGTTCAATTTGCTGCAGACTTTGAGAGATTGTTTGTTTGTTTATAAGCTGTCTTTCTCTCGATTGGGGACCCAAGGCAACTTGCAAAAGATAAGACAACAGATTTAAAGACACTACATAAATATCATATTTAAAAAACAATTAGACTTATATTAAGATTTAAAAACAAGTTTAAAAGCAATTCTGAAACTGGTAACTTCAAAACTGGCAGTCCTGAGATGACCTATTGATTGAAGGCCTGCTGGACGAGGAAGATCTTTGCCTGACAATGGAAGGAGAAGAGGGAGGGGACCAAACTTGCTTCTCGGGGGCCATGCATTCCAAAGCCTGGGAGCCACCACCGAGAAGGCCCCGTCTCGTGTCCTCACCAAGCAAGCTTGTGAACGTGGTGGAACCGAGAGATGGACCTCCCCAGAAGATCTTAAAAGCTGCAAAGGCTTATTTAGAGTGATACGATCCTTCAAATAGCCTGGACCCAAGCCGCATAGGGCTTTATCATTAATAACTAGCACTTATCCTAGGAGGATTTGGGACTCCTCCAAAGCACCTATTCCAAACTGTATTCAGTTACGATTTCTCTTTTCAGTCCTCCTTCCTGTGCCTCTCAAAGTGGCTTATGGTTTAAAATTTGCACCGCATTAATAATTAGCACTTATCCTAGGAGGATTTGGGGAATCCTCCAAAGCACCTATTCCAAACTGTGTTCAGTTGAGATCTCTCCTTTCAACCCTCCTTCCCGCCCCCCTGAAAGTGGCTTATGGTTTAAAATTTGCACCGCCAGACCCAGTCTCATTCAGAGGATTGAAATGGGCTAGTATCCAAATTGTAGGTTTTGATATGTTTGGGGGTGGGTGGGAATTCCCTGCCAAGGCATTTACACCCGCTGGCGTTTTTGCAGAAGAAACGGCTTTCCGGAAGAAGCGGCTGTGCATTAAATTCATCCCACGGGATTCCACGGAGGCGGCCATTTGTGACATCCGGATCCTTGGCCGAGGCAAACAGGGCCCTCCCCAGTATACTTTCATAGGGTAAGGCTCTGTCTTCTCTCTGCTGGTCTTAAATCAGAGCTTTTCACTCAGGTGAGTCGCGCTGTTTATGGGAACCGAGAGATGTACTTGACATGGAGGCAGAGCCTTTTTCCCTCTGGTGCAGGTTCCACGCACATCGGTATAAATAACGATAACTGTTAGAGCCTTTTTGGTGTGCCGGTTGAAATCGGTGGGAATTTTCAGCTCCATTGCAATCTTGGGCAACACGTTGAATCCAGATGGGCACCGACTGCTCCAGACCAAAGCGTGCTGCTTGTATACCGCCCCATTGTGCTCAGAGTGGTGGTTTACAATTGAATGATGCAGGCTGCCCATTAAACCGCTGCCTCCCAAGCAGGTTGGGTCCTCCATGTACCGACCTTGGAAGGATGGAAGGCTGAGTGAACCTCGAGCCGGCTCCCGTGCCGTGAGCAGAGTTTTGGCTGCAGTTAAACCACTGTTTAAGCTCCATTATAAATGAATTATCAATTAAATTCTTTATTTGCATTAGCCACGTGCCTTTTACAAATCAGGATGAGAATGGCTGGTTAGTTTCTCAGCCGAACAGCTGCTTCCCAGCCCTGCCTCCTCTGGCAGGCGCGTGCCTTTTACAAATCAGGATGAGAACAGCTGGTTAGTTTCTCAGCTAAACAGCTGATTCCCACCCTGCCTCCTCTGGCAGGCGCCCCTCTGAGTGGGCAGCTGCAGAAGGAGGCAGGGCGGGGAAACGCCAAACACCTGTTCGTCCAAAAATTAACCGTTGTGAACCCATCTCTAATCAAGATAACATGGAGTAGTCTTGAATTGGTCTATAAATCAGATAAAGTCCTAGCTGACCTATTATATTGTTTTGCCAGTGAAACTGAAGGCTTGATTTTTTGTCCCCTCTGACTTTTTTTGTTTTGTTTTTTGGCCAAAGGGAGTTGAACAGCATGGGCATCTGGTACCGAATGGGCAAGGTGCCTCGAAACCACGAATCATCTCAACCCACCACTCCTTCGCCACAGGCTCCAGCGACAACGCCGGCCGCCAACCTTCCTAGGTGAGGCTTGCTCTCCTTCATCCTTCCGTTGCCCAAAATGACTTTGGGCTTTCGTAAGGTGGGCGTCTTTGTTTTTGCTTTATAAATGTCATCGCGGGGCATCCCAGCCTTGTGTTGTGAAGCCTGCACTATAGCCTAGACCAGTCTGGGTTCCCCAGATGTTCTCGGACTAAAACATCCAGAAGCCTTCTATCGACTAACTTTGCTCGCCAAGATTTGTTAGTTGTCCTCCAAGAACATCTGGGGACTCAAGGTTGGGAATGACCAACCTAGACTGACCCACTTTTAGGATTCGGGATGTTTGCAAATGCAGAGCTGGCTGATGGTGTATTCCAGATGTGTAAGGTGGAGCCAAAGAAAGCCATGATTTTTTTCCGTGCCCCCAAACACAAAAAGGGGGAGATAGTTCTTCCCCTTTTACGGTACCCCTTCAAAACACAAGCTTGATGTCCTCTTAGTGGCTCCAACTGCTTGGAAATAATGCACGAGATTTAATGGCTAATGTTCTAATACTGACCTTCAGTAAGGAAACCACCTGATCTCAAAAGAACAATGCTTTTAAAGTAATGTGGAAGTAGTAAAGAAACCACTACTTTCATAAAGCTAGTTTTTAGTTGCTTAAGTTGTTTTAGCTCAAGAGTTGAGAAATTAAAGGAATGTGTTATTTCTAACAATATGTGCAGTTCACTTTTTGTGCTGTTTGGGCGGTGGTAAATGCCACACTTTTTCCACGCTCCCTCCTTTTGTCAGGTCTAACCAATATCTCGATCCTGGAGACCTCTTGATGAAGGGTCATGGTTAGGCCAGTGGGTCCCCACCTTGGGTCTCCAGATGTTCTTGGACCAAAACTCCCAGATGCCTTCACCACTAGCTCTGCTGGCCAGGATTTCTGAGATTTTTGGTCCAAGAACGTCTGGGGACCCAGGATTGAGAACCACTGCTCTAGACCATGTTTTTGTTTTGTTCAGCTGATCCTACAGACCATGGTTTGATGGGGGGTCACCTGGACCAACCCAAAGATGGAGTCTCATGGTATAAAGGAATGGTGCCCAACCTTGGGTAATCCAGATGTTCTTGGACCAAAACTCCCAGATGCCTTCACCACTAGCTCTGCTGGCCAGGATTTCTGAGATTTTTGGTCCAAGAACGTCTGGGGACCCAAGATTGAGAACCACTGCTGTAGACCATGGTTTGTTTTGTTCAGCTGATCCTACAGATCATGGTTTGATGGGGGGGGGGTCACCCGGACCAACCCAAGGATGGAGTCTCAGGGTATAAAGGAATGGTGCCCAACCTTGGGTAATCCAGATGTTCTTGGACCAAAACTCCCAGATGCCTTCACCACTCTCCCCACTCTCTGGGGTCTCAAGGTGGGGAACCACTGCTTTAGACGATCCCTCAATCCTGTTCCGGTTCAGATGCCCCTTTGGGGCAACGTGAATCGGAAAAACATGTACAGGATTCTCTACTGAAACTGTTTTCTCTCTCTCCCGCTTCTGGCTGGTTCACTGGGTTGACAAAATACAGAAAGCCGTTCTAGTTCACTGTGTGGGGTATGTTTTTTTTTAAGCTGCAATTGAGAGTATATACATGTGATGTGTTCCTGTTATAATCCCTCTATGAGAGCCCAGGGAGTCATTGAAGAACTTAAGAACAGCTTGGTTTCATATTTTATGGAGGCATTGGTGAGGGTGTAAAATATTTACAGACTGTGTGTTGGTTGGTGTCCCGGCGGTCGGGCTTGGACTGACACCTTAAATATGTTGACATTGGCTTTACTCTTTCAAGCGGGGAACAGAATTTTGTTCCTGGTGGCCTCGGGTAGGATTTTCCCCACCCCACCTCCTGCATCTCGGACGTTTTGTCTAAGTGTTGCCTCTTAATTTGATTGGGTAAGAGGTGTGATGGACGACACTGTAAACCTATTGGATTCTGCGCTTGGACGTAATGCGATCGGCTCAGTGGGTTGACTCCTCTTGCCATGCGACAGGAAGAAAGAAACATTAAATAGCAAAAGGATATCCTATCTGCGCATCCCGTTGGCTTGTCCTCTAGTTTCATGGCAATAGTAGCGAGTTTAAAATTAACGTGTTACTGCCAAGCTGTGATCTAGGTCAGACTTATGTTCCCACCAGAAACATCACTGGGAAAATCTATGAGCAGGCCAACTGGTTAATGGCATCATCAGTGTCTTTCTTGCTAATGAAGTTCAGAAATGTACCACGTCAGATCTCGATTTAACCACGGTTTGCTTTATAGTCCATGAATTTTGTCTCATTCCCTTCTGGTGGCAACAGGTTGATGAGGGTCCCGGGATCTTTCCACCGTTGAAGAACAGTGCGATTTAGGGGTTAGAATGTTTGGTTGGGATTTAGGAGTCCCGAGTTCAAATCTCTGTTTGGCCAGAAAATTCAGAGGGTGACTTTCAGCCTTGTCGCACTTTCTCGGATTAAACCTCCGTAGAGCCTCTACTTCCTGCGGGGTGGAATTTATTGTTTCGTAGAAAGGAAACAAAGTGGGATGATAAGACTTCCCTCAAGTTTATGTGTTGCAGTTCCAGCAAGTTCTCTCCCCCTCCCCTTTTGATATTTGTTTCTCCCTTTTTAAGGCTGCTGGAGAAAAGGTTCTTGCTTTTAAGCCCATGTCACGGTGGGAAAAAAATAATAATTTGTATTTGCTTGTATTAATGAGCGCCTGCCGGTTGTCCCACCAGCTAACACTTCTCTCTGGACTGTAGAGAGTGTCTTGGAGTTCTTGTAATTACCGTTAATATCTTTCAGCGGCTACTTTTCGTCAGCCCATCCTTACCCCACTGGAGCAGTGGGGTAAGGATGGGCTGTCAGCCTGCCGAGGATGCAAACGGGGGGTGTAGACCCTCTAGCGATTGCGTCTCTGTGCCACCGTTCACTGTACGGCGAGCAGAGTTGCAAACATGCCACGCATTGAAGTGTGTCAAAACACAACTTTCAATTAATCTGCTTTAATTACGGCTCCAGAGAGGCAGGGACGGCACGGATCCTCATTAAGCATTTTCTCCCTGTCTCTCTTTCTGCCTTCCCTGAGCTGCTCTCTCATACCTTAACCGCGCATCGCAAGCAGGAAGACGTTGAGAACGAAGGAAGCCTTTTCTCTTTTTAGGAAGTGGGTCGAGGAGACCCATTTGGATTTCATAGGCTCTGTAGTTGCTGTAACGAGGATAGGATCCAGTAGGTCATGAGTGACCAACCGGTGGCCTTTGGAAGGTTCTTCCGTCAGGTTGAAGCCAGCCTAACCAGTGGTGAGGACAAGAGTTAGCCACTTATTTGTGATGGAAGACCAAAAGATGTGATCTAAGATAATATGTGAAGGTGAATAATTGGAAGGAATTTGTAGAATCCAAAGAGATTTATAATTCATCTCACTAGGATGGAAAAGATGACGACAGGATGATCTGCTTCCTAGTTGTCCAGATGCTTCTGATTGTGGATGGTCAACTTCAAGGTCCCTCAACCTCTGGTTCATTCCATCCATCCATCCATCCATCCATCCATCCATCCATCCATCCATCCATCCATCCATCCATCCATCCATCCATCCATCCATCCATCCATCCATCCATCCATCACATTTATAGACCACTTGACATACTGCTGAGCACTACTCATAAGTGGTTGACATCAAGAACATGGCAGAATCATGACCTTGATGGCTACACATGGCTCATCCTTGGCTTTCCTGTCTCTCATTTAGGATGTCAAATCCCAACCCATATGTACACAGCTTATAGACCACTTGACATACTCGTAAGTGGTTGACATCAAGAACATGGCAGAATCAGGACCTTGATGGCTACACACGGCTCATCCTTCGTGGCTTTCCTGTCTCTCATTTAGGATGTCAAATCCCAACCCATATGTACACAGCTTGGCCTCCCTCAATTCCAAATCGTTGCTGGGAACATTAATCACCATCCCGTTAATGGTTCAGAAACGAAAACTAGCCAAGTGGTTTGTGCATCAAACCCAAAGACAATTATAACCTTTTAAAAACTAGAACAGTGCTTCCTAACCTTGGGTCCCCAGATGTTCTTAAATTACAACTCCCAGAAATCCTGACCGGCACAGCTAGTGGTAAAGGGTTCTGGGAGTGATGGTCCAGAAACATCTGGGGACCCAAGATTGGGAACCACTGCTGTACACATCGTGATACTTTATCCTTGGGTTGGTTCAGAAGACCCTCCAAACCACGGTCTGGAGGATCAGCTGAACAGAACAAACCATGATCTAGAGCAGTTGGTTCCCAACCTTGGATCTCCAGGTGTGCTTGGACTACAACTCCCAGAAATCCTAGCCAGCACAGCTAGTGGTGAAGGCTTCTGGGAGTGGTAATCCAAGAACGCATGGGGACCCAAAGTTGGGAATAACCGGACCAGAAAGACTCGGGTTTTGCTGGACTCTTAACTCTGGCCTAGGTCTGTTTTTGAGATTGTCTTGGTCTAGAAAAAGTGTCTCCTCTCCCTGTTGTTGGTTGTAATGAACCCGAAATCAGAAATGATGCTTCTCTGCGTAGACAAGTGAGGTTGTCGGGTGGTGGTTTGTGCCATGATTTGAGGGGAGTTGAACCTCCCCACGTCTTCTCCCACGCCCTGCTTGGTTCGGTAATAATTTGATGAAGAACATCACCCTAATTAAATGTTCAAGTGCAGCCCGCACATCAGTAGCGCTCCACGTGGCTCGGAACAACGCTTAATTATATGCAAAACTCAGGCGGCTGATGTTCACCTCATCGTCGTTATTCTCGCCCTCCCCCTCTCGCCTCCCCTCCACACACGTTGAGGTGTGTTCGTGTATTTTGGAATTGAAGCTGGTAATTGATAGACCATATGCTCCTGAGCGGCTTGAGTTTAACGGTATGTGTTTAGAGTTTTCCCCAAGTTGGGCTTTGCTTTGTTTCTTGCTGGGGTGTGTACGCCTAGCTGCATGCGAGAGAAGAAAAGTTCACATATCTAATTTCCTGCCTCCAGTATTAAATGACAAAGGACATTTAGAGACATAAGGAAAACACATTTCCTCAGTTGGGGAGCAGGGAAATAAATGTGCAGTGATGCCTCGCAAGATGAAAATCATTCGTTCTGCGAGTCCTTTCGTATCGTGAAAATTTTGTCTTGCGAAGCGCGGTTTCCCATAGGAATGCATTGAAATTTAATTAATGTGTTTCTATTCATCTTGCGAAGCACGGCCATAGAAAAAAAATTGTCTTGCGAGTCACCAAAAAATTTGCAAACCACTTTCGTCTTGCGAGTTTTTCGTTGCGCGAGGCATTCCTCTTGTGAGGCATCACTGTATGTCTTGTTATAGTTTAGGGCTGATAGGTTTTGAGTTAGCTCCCCCATGGCTAATTCTCTGACTGCTCGGATCTTAAGATCATCGGTGGAAGTCTTTCTCTCCAATCCACCATAGGGGCTTCTGGTGGGGACACAGGAGAGGACCTACTCTGTGGCTGCTCCCAGACAGTGGAACTCCCTCCCACTGGAGGCTAGCCTGGGCCCCATCTTGGCTGCCCTTCCATAAGCAGACCACGACCTTTCTCTTCAGGCAAGCTTTCCCTGAGTGACCGGCTACCTAAGTGGAGTTTTAAAACAGATTGTTGTGCCTTATTGCTTTGAATGTGTTTCTGCTTCTATCTACCATTTTTTTAGGGTGGTATTTCTTTTTGATCCTTTTTAATGCTGCTTTTAGTTTTAAATGTCCTTTGATATTGTAAGCCACCTTGGGTCCTTTTTAAGGAGAAATGAATCAATCAGTCAATAAGAGAGAGAGAGATTTGAAGGCCGACGTTGACATTATTTTGTCAGAGTTTGGACTGTCACATTGTAAACGAAACTTCTGATGTGAATCCTTAATTCTTGGGAGCTGGTTAGTAATGACTGTTGTTCCAATACTGCACATACCGTATTTTTCTCATCATAAGACACACTTTTCCCCCACAAAAAACTGTTGTTCCAATACCGCACATACTGTATTTTTTTCACCATAAAACGCACTTTTTTCCCACAAATCAGGGGGGTGGAAAGTCTGTATGTCTTATGGAGCGAAGAAAACAGATTATATTTTCCTGTTTTCTGCTCCTAAAAAATTGGTGCGTCTTATGGAAAGGTGCGTCTTATGGAGCGAAAAATACGGGTAATTTTTTTTATACTGTGTGGTATCAACGTGCATTATCCTTATGGAGAATTTTCTGGAAATATTGTTTGCCCTCCAGTGGTCCATTCTGATATTGCACTGCAGGAATAACAAGCAAAAATAAATGCAAGAAGAAGGGAATACCTTTATTGAACCAATTTAAAAAACACAGATTGCAAGTTTTTGTTGGCGAAATCCCATTTTCTCAGGCTGTGAATTTTTTGAACTGGAGAATGGGTTGAGGTCTACGGAGCCAGAGGGTTGGGAGTTCGAATCCCCACTTGGGCCTCCTTGACAGGGGATGGACTTGATGATCTCATAGTGTCCCTTCCAGGCAACTCCCAAAAGTCCTGGGATGATAATGGTGGACCTCCTTTAATCACACTTCAGTGGCCTTGAGAATTGAATAAAAAGATCATGTTTCTTTTCTTCTTTAGGCATATATCTCTGACACTTCCTGCCAGTTTTCGAGGGAAGGGGCAGGGCACGCGGCCGGACTTTGAGTATCAGCACTCCAATTTATACGCCATATCAGGTAAGTCAGAAGCCGTGAGCTGTTCGTTTATTTATTTATTTATTTTTTACGTACCATCTTGACCAGTGCTTCTCCACCTTGGGTTCTCCAGATGTTCTTGGACTGCAACTCCCAAAAGTCCTGGCCAGCACCAGCTCGTGGTGAAGGCTCCTGGGAGTTGCAGTCCAAGAACATCTGGGGACCCACGGCGGGGAACCGCCGGTCTAGAGCAGGTCTGACTATGCAAGGCGGTCCCAAAAGTCACTTGGATCATTCTGTTTCCCAGGGTTCTTACGGGAAACTTTTGAACCAGGATCTTTTCCAATCCTTCAGAAGTCGTTGGGGAAGAGTTCTCGAGCTTGTTTCGCACCCGTTCCCAAAAGGAAGCCTCTGTTAAGCCTCTGTTAAGCAGCTGTTAAGTCAGTTTTAGCCAGTTTGGAAGTCTTGTCATACTTTGCTGTCTGTATTAATGCCTGTTGTCCAAGATCTGTTGCTGGTCCTCACCCTACCAATGTAGAGACTACATGATTGTACAGTCACGTACAGACCCATCCTCCATAAATTCCGCTAATCTGTTGTACTGTATTTTTCTGTGTATAAGACTAACTTTTGTCTAAAATTTTTAGACTAAAAATTGAAGATTGTCTTATACACAGAGGTAAGCTGAGGAGAGAACAAAAACAAGTGGAGAGGAAAGCGGGGATCAAAGCGATCCTGAAGCTCTTTGATCCCTTTCCCATTCCACTTGCTAAGCCCCACTTAGATTTCTTAATTTTGGGTTAGAAAAGTGGGGGGGTCTTATACATGGAATAATATGGTAATTTGTTAATCTGAGGAGATGTGACAGAAACGTCCCTGTAGCCTCATCCAGATGTTTTAAAAGGCTGACTTCCCTGAGAGAAAAGGATAATATGGAAGTTGAAAAATTGGGAGAGATTCCTGGGCATTAAAGAATTTCTCCTTTCATCCCACGGGATGGTAGGAGGAGTTGGAAAAAGCTGTGGGACAGAAGAAGGAAGTTTTTTAATTACTGAAAATCAGCCCCAGGTAGTTGTGTGTCAAACGTTTCATTGCCATGCAGGCGAAGCAGATAATAACGATTGGGACTTCTCAAATGTAAGCAAGAACCCAAAGAAAGCCATGGGTGAGCAGGCGAGCACGATGGCTCGAGAAGATATTTTATTTTTTTAAACAAACAAACAAAATAGGAAAAAGCTCTTAGCAATGTTTTTCATTTGTATTCTTTTTAAAGAAACTTATTAATGGTGAGCGACAGTTATAACCGAAGAACATGGTGCTAACTCATGTACCTTAATGAAAGGGCTCTTCACATAGTAAACGTATTCTGTAAAACTGCCACCGCAGGTTTCCAAATAAGCCGGGATGTAACCATGGAACTACTCGCGTCAGGATTAGTTTTTCCTTCTTATTCCGGGGAATCGAATGGATTTGGGAAGGAGAAAAACAGAAACCGCAGCAACAGAGGCTCGGACCCTTCTCTAGTCATGATTTGTTGTAGGAGGTGCCCTTTCTCTCAATTGACCTTGATGCCTAATACTTAGAGGTAGACTATTCCTGAATGTGGAGGTTCTTGCCAGCTGTTGCAGACGGCACTCGCTGTGTTGCCTTTCCTTTAGAATTGCCAGTTTGTTCCGCTAGAGGAGGCTCCTTTCTCTCCCGTGGGACGGATCCGGCCATGTCTTCTCCCAACCTGACCTTACCCCACAGTAGAATAATCCGGGGTGAGGGAAGCCACAGATACTGCCTTAAGATCATTGGGTGGTGGTGGTGGGGATGAGCTATAAATACTAATAGAAAGGAGTCACAGAAATTACAGATAGGATCTCAGTGCCCAAAATATATAGGGGAAATATATAGGGGATGCTGGCAAATTCAGTCTATTCCCGTGTTGTTTTGAAGGCGCTCCCCTAGTGTCAGAATGTCCGATCTTCGGTTTTAGAGGACAGTTTTGTGGCTCCTGAGATCTGCCCATAGCCTCCCATCACCTGCCTGTGTGTGTGTTTCAGAAGTGTTTCATTTTCTCCAACCACGACCAGTTGTGGGATTCAAATGTGCAAAGGCGCGCTATCCATTATTTTTTATATTTTTTTGTTGTTGTTCATTTGGAAATTCCATCTCGGAGGATCCCAGGGACCACAGACGTGGCATCGTGGAGGGCCATGTGGTTTTCATCCATCCCCCCCTTCCATGCACACACGCAGTTGAGTACATCAGCGCATTGCGAGAATTGAGCTGCGGGCTCCACTTGCTAGACGGATTGCTCTCCTCACACCGTGGCCTCGGAGGGAATCAGAAGTAGACGTTTTCGACGCGCCGTGGAAAGACGTCCCGCGTGCGGTCGGTTTTGCCGATCAAAACGGCAGGGGCGAGCCAAAGGAGAGCGAATACACAGAGGGCAAGAAGCAGGGAGCACTTCTACATGCAAGATAATAAACCAGGGAAGTGAGGCAGGATCCTGAATGAAGTCGAAGGAGGAGATTATTTATAATAATGGAAGTCAAACAGAAGGGGAAATAAGTCACTTTAAGGGTGCATAAATTTTTACGACGGTGCATAAACAGCCGTGGCTTGTCTTGTCTCTCCCCGTCTGTCCCCACCAATAACAGGGGATGGGCGCCGGCACATAAAGGAGAATATAATCAGTCGGAGGGACAAGGGGGAGTCCTGGAAGGATTGATCGGGGGCGTCCGTTCGTATATCCCTATGTAAAAGGTTGGCAGGTGGCAGGTGGCCGGTTTTCTGCGCGGTATCGAGCCATGTGGGGGCTGTCAGCCCCACGCTGGCGGCTCTGGTTACGATTGATGAATGGCCTGCTTTCTTGATTAAACCTTCCATCACTTAAGAAACAATGAGCTCGGGCAGGGATCGGAGAGAGGGGGGGACACGTCGAGAAGCGTGCGTGGGAGCGTGGTGCGCCTTTGCGCAGATGTTTCGGGCGCCCGCGCGGAAACCGTGCATTATGAAAACGGACGTGGCGTTTATAGCGTGCGTAGGCGGGGAGGAGAATGGACCTGTAAATTATAGGTTAATCATGAGATGGGGAGGGGCTCCCTTCCCGGAGTCCCTTGGACGTCTCGGATCCGTTTCATGAGGTAGATTAATCAACTGAAGCGATTGTTGATTAATCAGAGGGGCGTGGATTTATTTCTTGCGGTGTTGTTTCCATTATGGATGGGCTTTTGATTCAGGCGTTTCGTGGCCCCGAGGAACGAAGATGGAAATGGGAGCAAGGTGGTGGTGGTGGTTCTCACCCATGTATGAATGAATTGTGTTTATCGACAACTACAGGAGTGAACTATTATCTTTATCTCCTGGTCAGCAAGTCACGATTTGTGCGCTCGGGGCGAAATGATACAGTCCTGCTGCTTTAGATGTCTAAAAGAAACCTTTGAAATTTGGGGTACGTCCGTGTTTATTTAAATTGCTTCCACAATTTGGTAAAAAAAACTGGCTTGAGGTCTTTGGCCACAGATCCAGAGGTTGGGAGTTTGATTCCTCGCTATGTCTCCTCAACGGGCTGGACTGGATGATCCAGAGGGCCCCTTCCCGCTCTGCCCATTCTAAGATTATTAGTATTATTCTAAAAGATTTTTCATTGGGTTGACCCAACCGTCCTGGGTTTACATTGTTCTGTTCTTATTTAAACAAATGTTAGGCTTTGCAAGTTGTAAGAGGACTGATCCTCCCTTGCCTTAAGGCGCTTATAGTCTAAAATCTGGTGCAAATCTGGAAGCAGAGGATAAAGAGAGGAAGAAGGGTGAGATGTTTAATTGCTCATGACTGGTCAGGACTCACAGACTTGGGCGTTGCGGGATAAATAGCACGGTGTGCATTTAAAGGAGGAGGCTTGTACCGTAACTTTTTTCCTTTCGTCGTGTTTTGTATTGCATCTTGTTGTATTTTTGCTTCTGGCGGATCGGTTTTCCTGCCCTGCTTCCCTTTGAACCGTCTGGGACACAAGAACTGCACCCACCAATATTGGGAGAATCCAGGTTTGATGAGTGAAAGGACACGCCCACCAGATAAAACCCGCCCACTGCCCCTCTGTAACATTCCCTGGGTGGCATCTCGGTGTTTCAAAACAGCTGCAAAACAACCCATAATTTTTTGGTAATGTCTTTTGCTGTTCCCTTTCTTCCCTTCTTCTTTGATATTCTTTCCTTTTTTAAAAAAAAACTCCTCTTTTTGTGCGGAAAACGATTCCTTTGTCACGTTCCTTTGTCATAAATACTTTCTTATGTTGGGTTAAGGTGTGCGGCGTTGGGATGCTGAAACCTTTACCGGTGTGTTCTGCTTCTATATGTCACTAATAAAACTGGTGGGGTGTGGGGGGGAAACATCTAATTTTTCACAGTGTCTAAATCTGTCCGGTTTATTCCCCCTCTCTAGATAAATATCCATTGGTAATTTTTTTTAAAAAAATTAATGTACGTGACCAAAACTAATTATAAATGAGCTTCACCATATGTGTAACGCCCCTGAAATCCGCTTCATCATAATTCTTTCTGCCCCAGCGGTTTCGGTGGGACTTATCTTTCCTGGCCAACTGGGCCTTGCCTCGAATCCGTCCAAAAGAAGGTGTCAAACGGAGGTGTGCAAATCTTCCATCAAAAGTTTCTGCCGCTTAAATGTGCATGCTTTCGTGAACCTTGGCAAACGATGGCGGTGGAGTTAATAAAACAGCCCCTTTCCGGAGAATACATTAGTAGCCTCCAAAGAACGAGGCTAGCTCTGGCTTCCAAAAATGGTTTGGACTGGAAAGAAGACCAGTTCCCCATCTTGTTTGGTGTTTTATCCTTTCACGTTTTACTGGACACGGATGTGAATTGCTGGATCGCTCGATGGTTTAGGTCTCTAGAGCCGGAGGTTTGGAGTTCGAATTCCCACAACAAAATATTAAGGGCCTATCAAAGATGATTGGGACAACTGAAACATCCTTGTGCTGTGGTTGTTTTCTGTTTACTTGGTTGATTACATTTATAGCCTATTATTTCCTTTAA